CGGCCTCCCCCGCCGCCGCCTCGGGGCCCGGCGGGGACGCGTTCTTCGCGGCCGCCACCATCTCTGCCTCCCCGGCGCCGGGGGCGCTGTTCATGCCGGTTCCCGAGGGCTCGGTGGCCGCCGCGGGGCTGGGGCTGCCGGCCGCGGACTCCCGGGGTCACTACCAGCTGCTGCTGTCAGGCCGGGCCCTGGCCGAGCGCTACCGGAGGATTTACACGGCCGCGCTCAGTGACAGGGAGCAGGGCGGCGGCGGCGCCGGACACCCGGCCTCCAGGTGCGTCTGCCTTGCGGCACCCGCCGCGTGTGCGCCCCGGGGTGTGCGCATCGACTCCCGGCGCTGCGTGTCTGTCTGTTGGGGGGGGGCGGTGGGAGGGGGCTGGGGAATGTGGGGGCGTCGCCTGGAGAGGCTGGGAAAGGTGATGGCTCGCTGACACGTGTGTGTGTGCGCGTGCATGCGTGTGTTTACGTGTGTGTGCTGGAGGACGGAGAGCGCTGGGTGAAGATTAAGAGGGTGGTACACGCAGCGTGCAGGAGTATCGGGGAAAGGGGCGCCTCCAGTGACCCTGCCGCAGTGGTCCCTGCAGGCATCTGTCGACATCGTTTCACCGCCCCCCCCTCCCCGTTGCCCTCTGTGACATTCCATCCTCCTCTCTTTTTCTGGTGGTGGGGTGGGGATGTCTTTCTGTTAGGGGGCATGGTATTCGTTAAGAATCATGTTATATTTATTGGGTGGGTTTTGAGGATCCAGCTGTCAGGCATGAAGTTTCCTTTTCTGTGCATGAGGGATGCGGATGGGGAGTTGTCTGCGCCTGATAGGTGCCGCCTAATAGAGATTCTTTGGGGCTGTACTTTGAACACCGGGTGTACTGAAGACGTGGGTCCAGCCGCTCTTGTGACCTGATAGACCCATCGGCCATTCCCCTTCATCTTCTGTTGAATTTCCTGTGTTACTGATAGGCTTTGGAGTAGAGGAATTTGTGTCGTGGAAAAGGGAAAGGCGGCCGGGGAGAACGATAACACACCACAGTTGGTGAGGTGTGTTTTAACTACTACCTCCTAAAAAAAACACACCCAACAAAAGAACCAAAAAATCGAGTAGCTCCTGGTCCTTTCCAGTGAGGATCTTCATATCTTTAGCTTCCTCCCTGTGAAGGAAGTGTTAATTCACTTTCGTTTTCTTTTTCTTAAAATGTGGGTGCCCTTTTTTGCTAAGAACTCTCCCATTGTTTTCTCTCCCATGTCCTTACATGCCACACACCCTGAAGCTGGGTGACTGACTAGTTTTACCAGCTTGGGTTTGACCGTGGTAATTGGGAGTTGGCTTCGTCTCCCCCCACCGCCATCCCCTTTCCCGTACCTGCTTGTAATCCAGGGGAAAGGATCTTAGGGTTTTGTCAAATGATGGCATTTACCCTATTTACTGCATGTGCAGTTTATTAGCTAATAACCAGATGTTTCTTTCTCCCATCGTGAAAGGGGTGCGGCTCTAAGTCAGGTAGTCAGCCGCGGTTTATCAGTATGTTCTGTGGCTTTCTCTTTGGGGAGAGTTGTAAAGGTGGAGTCGTGCTTGCATTTTTTATTTTCTGGGGAGGCCAATCTTCTCTCCTTTCTGTCATTGTTTGCAGGTTTGGACACATGACACAATTGTATCATATGGTTAGAAATATGTGTAACTTTGCTATCTAAGAGGATTGCCAAAATGGCACAGGTCTTTTTTATTTTTGCGAATGCCTTTGAAAATAGCACAAAACCTCATTAGAGAGTTTGCTTAGATAATTAGGTGTAATTTAGATCTGCGAGTCTCTGCATTATGGCAGGGTAGGTACATATCTACAAGCCTCCCAAGAAAGAAATGGGAATCCATTTTCTATGCTGTTCCCAGATTTTGGCAATAATTTGTGACTGGCATAGCACTGTGGTTTTTGACTTTTTACCAAACCTATCGCCATTAAGTTGACACCAACTCAGTGACCTCATAGGACAGAGGAGAACTGCCATATCGAAGGTTTCCAGGGCCAGAAGTCAGTGTTCGGAAGCAGACTGCCACATCTTTCTCCCATGGAGCCGCTGGTGGGTTTGAACCTGTTGGTTAGCAGACGAGTGCTTAACCAGTGCGTCACCAGGGCTCAACCTAACTTTCTGGTGTTCGTATATGAAGACTTGTATGTATCTAGAACTGTCTGAACAGTTTGAGATAACGTAATATAAGATAAACATGTACTGAGGTTTTAGTCTTTGTTTTTGTGCCAACTATCAAGTAAACTCAGTGCCCTGCAGTCAATTTTGACTCCTAGTCACCCAGTGAGGTGGACTTGAACTGCCCCTGGTTTTTCAAGACTAACTCTTTATAGGCATAGAAAATCTCCTGGCTGTCAATTGAAAGTAATGGACAATTACTTTAAGCTTGCAAAGAAATACTCATGGTCACCAGCCTTAAGTTACCTAATATTGCTCTCTCAGAACATTGTTGCTTGCTATAGTTCACATTGTTTTTTTTGCTAATCATAGTCAATAACATCTGTTTATTGAGGAGGTGGTTAAGAATTCAGTCATTTTTTTTAAATTGAAGATGATGGAGAAAGTGGAACTGAGATTGAGGCTCAGATTGAATAGCTATGAAATAGTCATGTGTGGAGGCACTGGTTGAAGTGAGAGGAGACAGTGAGAACATTCTGAGATAGAACGGAGCAAGACTGAAGCCCGAGAGGATGCGCATCGAGAGTAAATAAAGCTCAGGGAGAAAAGAGACAATGAGAGAAGCTGAAAAGCAAAAAAGGTAGAACAAAATTGGCTGGGAACTAAGGAGACCGTAGCAACTCTGGTCCTAAGAAGGGAGATTGCAAGATCCACAAAAGTGTTAAATGCTGAAGAAACGTGAGAATCATTTCTAGGTCATTGATAACGTTTTGAGGAAGCAGTCCTGGTAGAGGGATGTGATAAGGAATAAGAAGGGGTAGGTGTTTGGATATTGGAGGGAGGGTGGAGAGCATCCAGTGAGACAACAAAATCAAGAACAAAACAAACCATGGCCTTTGAGCTGATTTTGACTCATAGTGAGCTGATAGGGTCTGCAATAGAAGCGCACCAGAGCTTCGCCAAGACTGTAAATGTTTATGGAAGTCAACTTCTTCCACAAAGCAGCTCACATTACTATTCAGTTGATTCTGACTCAGGAATTCCAAGATGTAACCTGTGCCTTGGGAGGGCTGCTTAAGTTAGGTGCAGGGGGTGGTAGTGATTGATGATAATGGAGTGGGATTGCCTTAGATGGCTATTGTGCCCCTAAATCAATGCTGACTCAGAATGACCCTATGTGAGTTTCTGAGATTGTAACTCTTTACAGTAGAAATCCTAGTCTTTTCCTGCTGATCTGCCCGTGGTTTTGAACTGCCCACTGTGCAGATTACAGCTGAACACAGAATCACTACACCACCAGGGCTCCATTAGTTTTTGTCAACTCCCTCCCAGTGACTGGATGGGAGCATGTAACTAAAGTACAGAAGACAACTCTGGGCTTGGTCTTTTGAATATAAGAACCATCTCTGAAGCAGGAACAGAGAATTTCTGGAGACCATCAAGGGAGAAGCATGTTTGAGATCCCTATGTTCAGTGGTGAAGGCAGCAGAGCAGAGGAGCCGCTGCTGCCACCATGGAGCAGTGAGGCTGTATAGCAGTCGTTCTTCCTGGCCCAAGGAGGCAGAGGCCAAGGAATGGAGAGAGACTTGGCTGCTGACAGAAGACATGCTGCTGTGGACCACAAACTGTATTCTTAATGTTCTCTGATCTTGGCTTGTGGTAACTGTTAGCACCCCTAATAAGCCCCCGCAATTGTGAGTATTGGTCATTGCAATAGACCATCCCAGCAGAGAAATAGAGGTACGTGAGAGGAATGGCTGATGTTACTGTGGCCTCTGCCTTGTGGACCTCAGCCTTGGACAGATGGGCAATTAGGATTCCCCTTCTCTTTTGGGTAACCAGAGGTCAGATGTGGCCTTTGTGCCATTTCATCAAGATGAGAAAAAACCAAAAACAATTAGCTACCATTGAGTCTGCAGACCTTTTCCTGTGGGTTTCCTGGACTGTAACAACTTAGAGGAGTAGAATGCCCTGCCCCCCATGGAGCAGCTGCTAGTTTCCAGCTGTGAACATTTATACCAATTGGGCTCCAGTGAGATTTTATCGGGGAAAGATTAAAGAAAAGGAAGGGAATGCTTGATACAGAGTTCTCAAGGGCAACTGTAACCACAGGAATAGAGATTAGCCATTGAAAAAAGTTAGGGCCTAGTTTTAACAGGGCAGTGAGAAGTAGGTATTTGTAAATAGAGACTGTACGTATCATTTTGGTAATCTCAGTGTGTAGAGCATCATCTGTGAATATCAAGTGCTTGTGCTCTGTGCCAGAGGCCCCAGAGAGTGCAGACAGTTAAAAGTTGATGCCCATGTACCGGCATTTGGGAAGAAAAGACTCAAGATCTTGAAGAAAAAAACTCTCCAAAACGGTCGCTCCAGATTCTATGGATCACGATTCTATTGGAACATGTATGGGGTCACTATGGGCAAATTCCTGCCCCTGTAATGTCCCCGGCATTGTTTTTAGATGCTGAGGAAATGGTGGGTCCGATGGACAAGGTCTCTGTTCTCTCCCTGAACTCCCACCCTAGTCCGGAGAAACAGACAGCTGAAATGGATGTGATAATTTCAGGTTGACTAAGTAGCTATGAAGGAAATAGCACTGATTTCATGTGATGGAACAATTTGGACTGTTTTGGAACCAAGGGCAGATTTTTTTTTTTTAAAGACCATTTTAGGGAATTAACGAAAACCCCGAAGTGGGGATGACCTTGTACTGAGGGAACAAAAGCAAGGCAAGTGAATCAGCCATCAATGCTGAATGAACAAATGACTAAAGACTATTCGATGCAGGCAGTCCTGGTGGCGTATTGGGTATGGTTGGGCCGCTAAAGCCAAGTTGGCAGTTCGAAACCACCAGCAGTTCTCCAGGACAAAGGCGGGGCTCTTTACTCCCGTGAAGAGTTACCGTCTCAGAAACCCACAGGGACCGGTCTAGTTCTACCCTGTGCTATGGTATCACTGTGAGTTGGCATTTGACTCGCATGCAGTAGGAAAGAGAAGTTGAGGGCTTCAAGCCTCATGACATGTCTTTGATGGCCTTCTGATGAAGTGGCTAGGACTCTGAAGTTAGACTGGTTTTAAATCTTGGTTCTCCTGCCTTAGCGGTGTGACCTTGGGTGCATTACTATATTCTATGTGCCT